ATTTTTAAAAAAAAAAAAAAAAAAAAAAAAGATCCAGGGCTGTGTGTTTTCTAAAAAAGGAAAAGAAAGGGCCGGCCCATGGCTCACTTGGGAGAGCGTGGTGCTGACAACACCAAGTCAAGTATTAAGATCCCCTTACCAGTCATCTTTAAAAAAAGAAAAAAGAAAAGAAAAAATTTCAAAAGAATGAGAAAGCCACACTACAAGAGAAAGTAAGTAAAAATAGTGGATAACTGTGAATGAAGTGAAGGCAGTAATTATAGACCTCTTCCGACATTTTCGAAATTCTCAAAATGTACATTCTTATGTATTGTGTGAACTAAACTATACGCTCCTCACTCCAGCAAGGGAGCTCACGGTATACTCTCGCTTCCTTAAGAGGAGGCTACTGTACAAGGAGGAAAGGAACTACACTTGGTCCCATGCAAGTCTCCTTCCTTATGACAAACAAAACATTCCTGTGGGAATACATGCCCAGGTCAGGGCAGGTGGGGGAGTGGGAGTGCAAAGNAAGGAACTACACTTGGTCCCATGCAAGTCTCCTTCCTTATGACAAACAAAACATTCCTGTGGGAATACATGCCCAGGTCAGGGCAGGTGGGGGAGTGGGAGTGCAAAGTTAACTCCCCAGAGACACAGCAACCATTATTACCATTTCCCTTATCTGGCAGTCTCCCTAATGGATGGCCATCCTAGCCCTCAGGGAATGGCTGGTCTGGGAGAGGGACCAGAACCAAGAGGAAGAGTTGGGGGATACTCAGAGATAGAGGAGCTGTGTATTTAAAAAAAAAAAAAAAATTACCAGAAAAAGAGCAAAGTTGACACAGTTAGAAAAACCAAAGCAGAGAAAAAAGATGAACAGGTTGATGATAAGGAAAATTATCCCACTTATCATTTAGTGCAGTGCCCTTCTCACTGAGGTAGGAGTGGCAGATCGAGCCCATTTCATTACTGTCTCCCTTAGAGGACTGTGCCCTCCCTTGGCCCTGCCTCTCTCAATATTTCCTTCTCCAGCTCCATTTCCACATCTCCCTGCTATGCTCTCCCAATCTTGAATAGAAATATCTATTCAAAGTCTTAACTCTCCAGAGAAAAGGACAGAAGATAGAAATCTAAAAAATTAAGGGCCAGCCCGT